GTTTCCGTGTTTGATGGCCCGATCCAAACACGCGAGAATAAAACAAGTGTTGAGAAAATAAGTTCTCGACCGAGGAGATAAATTCGAGAATGAAAGTCATCATTAGTCAATCCACAATGCGTTAAATTCAACTACAAACACGATTTGTGTGGTGAGATTGTTTAGGATATACTCATTGGTACCTACGTACCAACGAATTGACGAAACATGGTGATAACGAAACGTACAATTTTAGCCATTTTAAATTACAATTGGTAGCATATCATGTTAATAATGAACGGACAGAAAAACTATCTTTAATTATTGTGCTGGAAATTATTGATTCATTGTACGAGTTTACGTAAATAAAATTGTCAAGTAAGTCTGCCGTACAAACAGTGCATTAATTACCAATAATACAAATTAAAGAAGATAAAAATCTTATTAACTTCAGTCTGTTGTGCTTCATCTGTTTGCGGAGGTGATATCTCCTTTGGAGGTCGATTTCGTTTAAAGAATCCAAGCTGAAATACATAAAATAACTTGTAATGTGAAATCTATTTTAAAAATCATTTGGCTACTAAACATTCCCCGGAGATGTTTGTGAGAACTTTCGAACAGGTGCAATTTAAAAGCCTGTGCAAACACAGTAAATATCTTTTATTCCTTAAATGCTACATGCAGTGCACGAACAGAGATAAGACCTTTTCATGAGAAAGAAAATTAAGGAGTATAGCGCAGTCTTGTAGAGTGGTAAAAGAAATACTACTAACCATAACAACTATGTGACTGTGACAAACACGAATTACGCGACATTTACATTTGAGTAAGTCGTGGTAAAAATTGATAAAACATAAATGGCCATCCTGACTTTAAAAAAAAATTACGACTGCCAAAGAGTATTTTGGTAAAACACGACAATAGACACTCCGCAAATAGTAAACATAATTTAATCTAAACGTTCCGACAAATGTTACATGCCATCTTCAGTAGAAACTGTTTGCTTTTTGAACTAAACTCCGCGTCACTTATCCTAAACTTCACCAACTTGCTGTTGCTATTTTAAAAAACAATTTCTACTGAAGATGACATGTAACACTTGTCGAAACGTTTAGATTAAATAATGTCTGCTATTTACGGAGTGTCTATGATCTTGTGTTTTACCATCCTGAATTTATTATAGCAAATTCAAACCTTATTAACACAAAACTTTTTTGCTTACTTTGAATAAAGCGAAAATACAAAGAGCCAGTAACAAAACACCACCAAGCACAGAGACAATAATAACCCACACTGGAGTTGATTTGGATTTTCCAGGAGCATTTTCAGGAGTTACTCGAATTGTGACCTACAATAAACGATATTGTAAAAAACAACAGTTCAAACAAACTCAGAACGCCTTCCTTAAGGGTAAACCTGTATGAAAGTTATCAAACATGTATAAAAATTCGCATGTTTAAGAAAAAGTAAAATTGCTAACCTCCTGATGTCCACGATGAGGTGATTCGCTCTCATTAAGATTGTTGACATATTCAGCATTAAATTGACAATCATGAGAAGATCTTTAGGATAATACTAAATCCGTATAATAAAGTTGCAGATATTAATGGCAAAGTTTTGCAAATTTCATACTTATGGCAAAGTTAGGTAGTTGATAACGCAAATACCAATATACCGCCATCAGAATACCGGTAAATACAGGTATACCGACATCAGAATACTGGTATATACAGGAATACTAACATCAGAATACGGGACAAACAGGTATACTGACATCACAATACCAGTATAAAAGTATACCGACATCAGAATACCGGTGTATATATGACATCAAAATAACGGTATATCGATAGTGAATTTGAAGTTTATTCGAAAAATAAAAAGCATATAGCACGTTCCTACCGAAAAAACAACCAAAAATATTTGTTCTTCAAATAGAATTTTGACGCCTTTTAAAATAGGTATTTATGTATTTGTCTTTGACTTGCTAAACCAAAACTGCCGAATCGTAAGATGTATTTATGAACTAGGACAGTGACTATCGCCTGGCTGCATGTTTTAACTTTAGTTTGTAAACGTGATTGTGATAAGTTCTACAGGACGACACTTTCATTTCGTTACTATGCAGTATAAAATACCGAAATAACCGTATTCATGTATACAAAATATCACCAAAAACCGATTTCAAAACAAATTTTGACATACCGGATTTCAATAATCAACTCACATTCAACTACTGTCTATGTTGGGAAGTTGGGAAGTCGTCAAAGTATTTTTGGAAGTAAGAAATGTATTGCCACAAATGTTCATTTATTTTATGCCTTACCGCAGCAAGAGTCGCAGTCCACAGTCGCACATTTAAGTCTGCCACAAAACGACCATTTCTTTCAATTTCTTTGATTGTACAGGTCACCAGCCCTGAATCCATCGTCCGAGGTGACTAGAAAGAAGAAAGTTTGACAACAATGGAAAAAATTGAAACAAAGGCATTGCACCTGACTCGTGGATGAGATGAAAAACAAATTCGAAGCAGTTTGAATGTTTTGATAAAAACAGACTAAGTAATTCATCAATATTACTTGATGAACAACGATACAGGCAAAAATAACGCGTTTTTTTGTATTTGGCAAAACACATAATTTAGATTCTAGAAGACACTTTTAAAGTAAAGTATTCTTAATACTTGAGAAGAACTCTAATATCTAAAGCTTTAGGCAATAAAACAAATAATAAAAAATACTGTGGATAATTTATCTAAAAAGTTCCAGTATATGTTGTCTGTTGTTATTTTGCCACTTCTAAACCCACTGCAGAAACTCCAAGCAATTTCATATAAAAATGAGATTTAAATCAAAGTAATTGCACTATTGCCTCACAAACTTGGGTCAATTTTCAGATATTTTGCTTTCGTAGTGGTCGATCTTATTTTATTTAAACCATTGTCTAAGATAAACTGCAATCGTGACCATACCAGGGTTTCTGTATTTCTTCTCCGTCTAGTTCTTCCTTGCGAGTCCTGATAAAAAAAAAATGTCGCTGACAAGGCATCCACGAATTTGAATTTTCTTAAAGTGCATATAAAGTGAAAGTTTCATACACTTGAACAAATATTCAGACTAATAAAATAGAGACTTTGTCGTGGTGACAAATCTAAAAATACTTCTAAGTGGTATTTGCTATCTTTAGAACTATTTTCAAATATTCACACGTCTACAAGGATTTTGATATATTTATGACCAATACAAGTTGAGTGAAAAGTGACAAAGTTAAACACCCAAAGTCGTCCTCGCCTGCAACCTTTTGGTCGCTCATCTGACGTCACACAGAATACGGAAGTCGCCAAGCTAATAGTAACTGCTATTTCAATGGTGAGAATGTGTACTTCTTATGATGAAAATTTAGCTAACATAGCAGCCAAAAAGTTCGCCAAAAAATTGTCAAAAATCGTCAATTCGACGGTTATAAACTCGCTTTGAAAAGACTACATATAATTCCCTTTGCAAAAAACGGATTTGACAGCAAGTACTTTTTACAAAGCCAATAAAAAAAGGGAACAAACACTTCACTAAGATAGCACTTTAAGTGGCTATAAGTTGAATATAATTAAAATTAAATATGAGTAGAGACATATATTTAACATAGAATCAAACTATGTGCTTATATTTAACATATTAGGTGTTTGCATTGGTCGTTTTGTGGGTAGAAATCCCATATAGTGAAAAGAATTTATGTTGATTTCATGTTCTGTTGAGCATTGGCACTTTGATATAACGTTAGACGTTTTAATTCTAATAAGTTCTAGTTATTTATCGACACAAAGAACGGCAAACTTAAAAATCTGTAACCAGCAAATGTGCAACTCGCAAAAAAATAATTAAGCTAAATACATGTTTGTAGATGTAGATCGTCCAGGTTAGAAGAATCCTGAAAAGGACTGTTGTTGTTGGTGTTGACAGACGTTTCGACAACCTTAGTGGTAGTCATCTTCAGAGTCAAGATGAGCTGAGGATAATTTGACTCTGAAGATGACTACCGCTAAGGTTGTCGAAACGTCAGTCAACAACAACAAAAATAGTCCTTCTCAGGATTATACTAACCTAAACCATCTACATCTACAAACAAGTAACAATATTCCGCGGTTCAAACCATTTACTTTAAGTTAAATACATATGCTGTCTCAAACAATTAGTTTATTCCTGGTTATCCTTACCGCAGTTAAGGACAGGTTAGCAGGATTCAAGGCTCTTCCACTGCATACTGCGTTGTTGGCATCACCTCTTTCCTGAAACGACATACGTAACTTAATGTTCATTAAACAGTTGGTAAAGATGTAAATAAGATTGTTTAGAGAAACGTCTTAAACCTAATGCTTTATATCAAAAATTGTATCTGTAGTTTACATCAAACAAACAAAACATAACATTTATGACATAGAAACAACAATTTCAACATAGCCTTGTAAACATTTCCACCATAGCCTAGCAAACCTTTCCACAGTGCTTTACAAAAACTAAACAAAATTAAACTGTGAACCTTCCCATTCCAATAATCCACTTCGATAAATTCACAGAAAAACATCGCCGATGTAAAACATTGTCAAAATAAAAATCACACAACTGCCAGAACTGACCTTAATACTGACAGGATACAGAAGATAATTGAATTCCTTGTCTTTTTCGGTTAGAGGGACGCTTATATGAAGTATCACATCTTCTAAATCACTTTGACCTTCATTTGCAACCTAAATGAAGTATAAACGTCGTGTAAGTAAACCTATAATGATATCCAATGCATTCAAAACAAAAAATCAACTCAAAAGTAGACGGGCATTTATGTTAGGTAATATAATGCATGCATATAGAGGTACGTCAGATGTCTGATTTAAGTCATACAAGCATCATCAAAAAGTCATAGAAACCAAATATATTCAGACAAGAAATTTAGAAATATATGCAATGGCACCAAATAGCGAAGATAATTTTCTTTTTCATAGTTAGGAGGCGACCTCCAAAATGACTATATAACTAATTATTTTTTCAAAGTAAATGGTTTGAAGAGTTCGTTATGTTAAAATTGTCCAATCTGAGAGGATTTAGTTATTGATCGATAACCTTAGCAGTAGTCATCTTCAGAGTCAAAAATCATTTTGACATCTCATTGACAGAGTCATTTTTGACTCTGAAGATGACTACTGCTAAGGTTGTCGAATCAAACAACAAAACAGTCCTTCTCAGGACTTTATTAACCTGGACGATCATCATTTACAAACATGTAATTATTCTTTTGTTATACGAGATTATAGTTTTGAAAAGAATATTGGTGGAAGGGAAATTCATCTTCTCCTTACCTCGATGGTAATGGTTATTGGTGGTCCAATAGAAGAAATGTTCACAGAGCTATAGTCGTTGTCTATTATATTTAAATCAGGACCTTTTTCTGGATAGTCTAGTGACTTAGGAACAGTTGTGCTAAAAACACAAAGTTCATCTTTTAAATAAAATGTCTTAAAGTTTATCAGTTGGTAATATTGATAACAGTGGCGGATCTAGGGTACGTCAAAATAAATTACTGTAGCACATTTTAGCATGTATTAACATTTCTAAGTATATCAAAAAAAAGGCGAATCCATTGGTAAATTACATTCTTCGGAAATTCAAAATCAATAGCGTTTTTCTGAGAGTACTTTGACTTTAAAATTGAACAGCTATAATTTATTTTGACGAACGCTGGATCCGCTATTGATTGATATTACATTTGACCAAAGTCACTGCGCATCTGCAAAAAGGTTGTTTACGATAGATGGCAGATTTACGTCTATTTAAAAAGACAACGAGTGCAACGGTAGCTAAGTTACATCGATATCCAATGATTAGCTTGTAAAGAAACTTCTTTACAAATTCACAATACTCCTTAAGTTTTCAGACACAGCAGTCTTCTTAGTGAGATGTAACTTAACCAAACTTAAAATAAAAGCAGATAGTTCCACATACCCGGTAATTTCTAGTCTGACATTGCGCTTGACAATCATAGAAATGGTGGCGTTGTTATTTTCATCATTAATCTCGCTTCCGCTTAGCCTAAAACAAAGTAAAAACATAAGAAAGAAATCAAATGACATGTAATGTTAAGAATTAACATCACAAAAGCACATAACGCATTGATTGCATGAAAGAGTTTGCTAAATTCGAGGCTAAATTACAAAGATCGATAACCATCTAAAACAATGAAAGATCTCTTTCATAGCTTATTTATATACGTTACTGTACAAACACAACACCAAGCAGGAGAAGCGAACAACACTGTTCAAAAAAACCTATGTTATCATCACGATTGAATAGATCAATCTCGTGGATCCACGATTTTGTAAAGAATTATATTTCTCAAGAATTCTAATATTCAGAAAATTATATTCCTCGAGGATCAGTTATAATGAATTTAATGTAATTGATCATATGTAACACAAAATATTAGTTGTACGCACGGTTCAACATAGCGTTTATAACTTCAACAAATATTCCGTCTTATATGGCAAATAACCAATTAAAATATAAAGAAAACAGACTTACGCGTTCACCCTAACAAAAATTTCCAGATTCTTTTTTTTACCAACTACAGCGGTGGTCGAGTATGTAATTTCCAGTGTAACCTGTCAAAAAAATCTAAAGATTAATAACTTCACGCTCACATAGTTTATATCAGTTGTAAAACTTCTCAATTAAAAAAGTAAGCAGATCTTCTCCTTATCTTCTTTCCCGGAAGCGTCCCATTACGAAACCAGGGTCTGAAAATCGCTTCAAAAAACAGGTACGCACTGCGTACACGTGGTTAGCCTAAACCACGTGTTCAAGTTCGAGTGTGTATGAGCAATATAAAATGATTTTAAATCTTGAAAAGAATGGTGGTTAAAAGTATTAATGTGATAAAGAACACTTGACATTAAAAATTTAGAATAGCGTTTTCCAGTAGTAGGAGTATTTCCCAAGTGTTCAAAGATTCTGGTGTTCACAAAACATGTCGTTTCACCCATGCTGAATTTCTAAATGAAAGACATCACTTAACATCCAAGGCTGCTCCATTCCCCTGAACCTTTTTAGTTCAACCCCTCTTTTTTATATTTGCACTTTTTCCCATCACTCCCCAGCCCATTTTATCTTGTCAACTCCATTTTACCATTCATTACATAACATCAGATCTTAACAGTAATCTGAAACCTTAAACTATGTAATGTATTAAATCTCATTTGTATTTTTGGTTTGTAGTTGCAGTATTTTTTAAATGATATTTTAATAGGAGATTTTTGTCGACAATTCTGTCCCGATTTGAACTTAAGTTTTACCTTTGAATGCGGAGGAATTGTAAATATAAGTTTTATTGTAGTTCTAGGCTATAGCTCATACTTTGACTCTATTATATATATAATACACTGTCATTTTTTATGTTTTGTCGAACCAATAAAAACTTGAAAGAAAAACACATTTAGCTTTGCATTTTCCTGACTAGAGCATTGCGAGATACACAAATTGTGTGCAAATATGGCGAATAAAGTCCTTTGCATAAGTCGCCGAAACGAGACATATTAGATGTTTGTGATCTTCTGCAAAGCTTATACTTGTAAAATATCTTTAGCTGCTGAGTGTTAAATTCAAACTTTAATCAGTAAAATAGAGAGCGGATTATACGCTAAAACGCAACCGTTTTGGTAATTACCGAAAATATATAGTGTATGCTACATCCTGAAGAAACATAGAGATCAATAATATGGACGTCAGTTGGCCTAAAGGTCGGATGTCTTTTTTGCGGAATAAAATAATGAACAGCGCATGTGCGTGGCAACCCACAATAATATGCCTGTTCTTAAAAAGGCTCAATGATTCACAACTACTTCATATGAAACCCAAATGGCTAACCTTTTGATTTGGATCAAGGGGTCCTTGAAGTTGAAACAAATCGTAATCAGGTCTACTTAGTGTTGCATCTGGCACAATTCTGAACGATCTCTATAAAATTGACAGAGAAAAATTCACAATGTCTACAAACAAATCGTTATCGTTCATTAATACATAGTTTATTAACAAAAATACTGAAACAATAACTTACATCGGATACATCGAAATCTTCATACTGTAATGACGGGTCATGAGTTAATGCTATGGTAGGATTGTACGCAACTTCGCCAGAACTGCTGAGTTCAACAGTCACTTTTCTGGAATTGGTTTCACCAATAATTATTTCATTTTCATCAACACTAAACAAAAAAGTTACACACCAAATCAATTCAATCCAGTTAATACAAATAATATAGCTGCTGCACACTAAAGTTAAGATATATGGAACAATGTTAGTGATGACAATATAACAACGATTCGCTACGAGCCTATGACAGTTGAAAATTTTGCTTAAACATATGTATTTAGTACAAATACATAAAATTAGTTAAAATACACAATAAAACTATTCAATGTTGACAAAGCTAAAAAAAGTGAACGAAAAACGTTTTCAAATGTATTTTGTTGTTGCTCTTTTTTTGAACTTGTCTTTCAATACCTATTCAAGTATTTCAAACCAAACATGTTTTCTTTCAATGAGCTCAGAATGATTGATGGTCGCTCGCGTATATCACAAATAAAAAACAGGAAGCTACGAGCGACCGGCGCTTTCCGAGTATTTGAGCCCTTTTCGACAATCTCCCCAGCGTGTAGTAAGTAGTTTTTAAATAATTTTGTTAAAATTTCTTTTGTTTTGAAAAACAAAAGAAAATCTAACATGCATAGTCGCGCAAATCTAAAAGTGCAAGTAAAGAATAAACGAAAACGTTACCTTACTGCCGTTTTGAGATCATAATTGCATTCGTTGTCAGTACAATTCACAATAATGGTAGCCTACAAACAGGTTTCTCAGTACAATCAACAACTTACAATAATGGTAGCCTACAAACAGGTTTTTTCAGTCTAATTAACGACAATGGTAGCCCACAAACAGGTGGTCCGGGAAACAATTCACGATAATAGCGAGTTTTAGTTTAGCGTCTGCGGCAAACGATAAACCTCAACTACCCGCTTGCCGTTGAGGTTTGCCTTTTCGAAAAAACTTGAATATAGTTTGGCATTTTGCATTTGTCTTTTATAATTTGCACTGTCAGGATCTAGATTTCATGTTTTGTTAAACGTTTGTCGATGAAAAGGCATATTCATGATGTATACTCACATAAAATAATTACAGTAGGCCATAAACGTCACTTGGTGTATTAATAGTAAAAAGCTTGCCGTACATCACCTACCGCAAGAAGTGCTTCATGCCGTTAAAACCTGAACCGCAACGTAAACTGCAAAGACTTGATCACGTGACATTTGCATTTTGTCGTCAACGCCAAACTAAAACTTTCTATTTGTAGCCTACAGACAGGTGTTCATAGGACAATTCGCAAAAATGATACCCGGCAAATAGTTCGGCAGTTACATTGCCTAGTGGTGACTTCACTCTTTCAATATGCGATTCGCCAATGAAATGCTAATTGTTTTACAAGGAATTACTTTGCCATAAAGGTGGTTATTAACAGGTTACGAAAGAATTTCATAAACCTGTTAATAAATCTGTGTAAATTTGCTCTGAACTTTTCACGGACAAAGTTTTTAAATTTCCCATAAAAATCGGAATACTTAAGAAAAAATTTAATCAGAAAATTATAATAATCCTTGTACCACTAACAAAAACTACTTTACAAGCAGAAACTCTTCCTTACAAAAGTAGTAAGTCATATTCCAAATTATTCCTACCTGTTCCGTTCTAACAGAGCCTTTACTTGTATCCAAAATCGGACATAAAGTCGTATTTTCGCAGTTTGGTGGTAAAATTAGACTGTAATTTATTTTGAAACCGATGCTGTTGGCTCCAAGCCTCAATCGGTCCACAAGATTGTTTTCCTACAGTTCACAAAATTTAAGAAAGAATTTTAACGTACACAATGAAAAGAATTAGAAGTACTGCAATCGAATGTTTAGAAGCGAATACATGGGGTGGATAAAGCTGTAAGTATTTAAGCTTGAAAAAAGCCATTTTCACATTAGTTTCCCATTAAACGGTTTGTACAAAACGTAGTTTTTTCAATATTTCGATTGATGAATTAACATTACTTCATTTGAGAAAGTTTAAATGATTTTCTGTTGCAAGAACTTTGAAATACACGAAAAGCGCGTGAAAAGCAAAGTACTTGTGATTCATGTAGTACTTTACAACGATATGTTGACATTCACATAAATTACATGGCGATAAAAAGACAAAACAAAAATATAAACAAACCTACGGCGACATTGAAATACATAAAACAGATCTCTGCAGCAAAACATATATGTTAATAGTTTTAGGTAGAGTTTTACGTAAATAATTTTACGACACTTATTTGGCAAAACACTACTTAAGGAATCAAAAATTTGAATAATCTGAAAACAAGCTCATGGCATTTTTGGTTCAAAGTATTTATTCGTTTGTAGAAACACACCAACAAAGAATCAATACGTAAGTGAAGTAACCTTAACAACCGTACAAAACCCTAATCCCCATACATTACTCCTAAAGTGACCTTAAAGTAAACACTTACTTTAAACCCCCTAACTTTGACCTTAACCCTAATAATAGTAGCCCCTTCAGAATAAAGTAGCCCCTTTAACCATAATAGTAGCCCTTAGCCCCTCCCCTTATCCTTACAAACCATCATAACACGACAGAAATATGACAATGACAATCTTAGCCAGCGTTCAGCATGAAAGCGACATTAGTGTTAGGTAAACAACTGTCTAGCCCAATAAGCACAACGACTAAGAAAGATATTATTGACTTACTCGAACATGAATGTGAGTGAATTCCACACACGACGTAACATTCTTGCCTGGAAGTCTTATTTTATCACGCTTGGAGTAAATTACATTTCCTGATTCATTAAAATACACTCTCTTATTAACATTTTGCAATGTTTGATAATCCAAATCGAACTGGTATTGAATTTCTAGGAAGAAAACAAACAGACTCAAATAAGTATGTCTTATGAATGAAAAGATTTATGTTTCTTTACGTAAACACAATGTACGTCAAAAAAACATTATTGCAATCCTCTCTTAACTTTTCAGTCTACAGCAACTTTCCACATACTCAACAGTGATTATTTATGAAAGAACAATAAACGCTTTTAAGTTTTGACACAAGCTTGTGCAAAACCTATCTGCTTTTAGCCATATCGAAATTCTCATGAATTTTTACAAATTTTGAGGTTTGCAGCATAAAGTGTGATTTTCATATTATAATAACACAAAAACCGTGACAAAAAAGACAACGAATCTTTTAAAAATAGGCATGTTTCGGAGAGCTTATGCTATTTTCGGTATATAAAAAAATGAATTATTATTCAAAGCAAGCAATATTAACGTAAACATACGTTTTAAAAGTATAACTACTAAGCAACATGTTTATTCAAAGTTTACCAATGAGGTTCAATGTCCACCCGTTAGCTGAAAATCCAATCAAGTGAAAAAATTTGCCTTCTGTCTTCATGCACTGTTAAGCATTGGTATTTGAGGTAAACCTGCCAAAATGGCTGCTTTGACATCATATTTTTACACAGTTGTGCCGACTAAATTTACATTTGTAGATAAAATGATAAATGCAGTGTACAGCTTTTGTGTTTATGTTCAAAAAATGGAAGTTGTATATTCATATTACGTCAATAGTTGCGACTAGGTCTAAAAAGATTATTAATCTCCTTCCATCTTTAGGAATGATCACTATACACTTTCATAAACAATGAAGATCACAAAAGCATGCCAAAACATGTATATATTTTTAAAAGAGTCGTGGTTTATTTGTATGATTTGCACAACAAACGGTTCTGTAAAAAATATTTTCGTTGATCTTATTACAATGATACAATTGCTGTAGCAAAAGGGAAATGAAATGTCAACAATACACAACAATACCTTCCATTCCGTATAACTACATATTTGATAGTTTTGAGCTTTATTCTCACTATTGTCACTGACATAAGTTGATTTCGATATTCTGTCATGCAATTCTCTTCGACCGAAAGCAATTACAATCATTTGAACAGAAACAGTTCATCATCTAAACTTCACCATGCATACGTACCATAAGGACCAGAGACACTTTTGCCGATGTATTGGAAACACACTGTAACATCCAAACTAAATAAAAAAAAGCTTGTTACAACAACATCACAAGTGAACGGACTCTTATGTTCAGATTTCTCACATAATATACCTTTCTCATTCTCCACAACCAACATTTCGTCTGGTCAAATTTTTATACTGACATACAATACCGCTCGCGTATTTGTTAACATACGGTACGCGTATGAAACGCGTATGATACGAGAATGATATATGTACGATACGAAAAGGATACGCGTATCACACGCAAAATTATGTTAACAAATACGCGAGCGGTACTGTATACGTTAACATTTCCCCTTGTTGGTTTCTGTCCCCGTTAAAATTTCCCATCATAAACAACTCTCGATGCTTACATCTCCCTTGATCGACAACTTCCACAAGTGACATCTCCCCCAGGCTCGTAAACAGAGGGATGCACTGGTTACACGAGTTGTAGTCTCATTTAAAACACATTAACCAAGTTAAGCCAGGTTTATTGTTTACACATCAAGAAAAATATAGAGAATATAATTCTTACCATTGTATAGAACTGTTGGGACAGAATACGGTATAATTTTCCACAAGTATCTCCTTCCTGCTTAAAGTCAATGAAACGTCCAAGTTCATTATTGGGCGAGTCCTTAGAAAGTAAATTAACAAAAAATTAGTGATTATTGGGCTACTTCAACTCGAAGTAAAATTTCGTTCTTAACCTGACGCCGACGAACACAAACAATTTAATTGGTGAAAAATAAAACTTTCAATAAAACGTCAGCAAAATTTTAAAAGTACATAACCACTCAAATTATTTCCTACATGCTCAAGCTTATTCATTTCTGAAAGCATTAAATTCTGACATAATTAAAATTCCATGCAAAATCACTTTCTCTAAATTCACGTAAATTCAAATGCAAGCATTTATACTAATAAAACACCAAAACACCACCAAGCACAGAGACAATAATAACCCACACTGGAGTTGATTTGGATTTTCCAGTAGCATTTTCAGGAGTTACTCGAATTGTGACCTACAATAAACGATATTGTAAAAAACAACAGTTCAAACAAACTCAGAACGCCTTCCTTAAGGGTAAACCTGTATGAAAGTTATCAAACATGTATAAAAATTCGCATGTTTAAGAAAAAGTAAAATTGCTAACCTCCTGATGTCCACGATGAGGTGATTTGCTCTCATCAAGATTGTTGACATATTCAGCATTAAATTGGACAATCATGAGAAGATCTTTAGGATAATACTAAATCCGTATAATAAAGTTGCAGATATTAATGGCAAAGTTTTGCAAATTTCAAAAATACTTATGGCAAAGTTAGGTAGTTGATAACGCAAATACCAATATACCGCCATCAGAATACCGGTAAATACAGGTATACTGACATCAGAATACTGGTAGGTATATACAGGAATACTAACATCAGAATACCGGACAAACAGGTATACTGACATCACAATACCAGTATGTAAAGGTATACCGACATCAGAATACCGGTGTATACAGGTATACCGACATCAAAATACCGGTATATCGATAGTGAATTTGAAGTTTATTCTTTGAAAAATAAAAAGCATATAGCACGTGTTTCCACGAAAAAAAAACAACCAAAAAATATTTGTTCTTCAAATAGAATTTTGACGCCTTTTTTTAAAATAGGTATTTATGTATTTGTCTTTGACTTGCTAAACCAAAACTGCCGAATCGTAAGATGTATTTATGAACTAGGACAGTGACTATCGCCTGGCTGCATGTTTTAACTTTAGTTGGTAAACGTGATTGTGATAAGTTCTACTGGACGACACTTTCATTTCGTAACTACGCAGTATAAAATACCGAAATAACCGTATTCATGTATACAAAATATCGGCAAAAACCGATTTCAAAACAAATTTTGACATACCGGATTTCAATAATCAACTCTCATTCAACTACCGTCTGTGTTGGGAAGTTGTTGATGCAACACACCTCGTCAAAATATTTTTGGAAGTAAGAAATGTATTGCCACAAATGTTCATTTATTTTATGCCTTACCGCAGCAAGAGTCGCAGTCCACAGTCGCACATTTAAGTCTGCCACAAAACGACAATTTCTTTCAATTTCTTTGATTGTACAGGTCACCAGCCCTGAATCCATCGTCCGAGGTGACTAGAAAGAAGAAAGTTTGACAACAATGAAAAAACTTGAAACAAAGGCATTGCACCTGACTCGTGGATGAGATGAAAAACAAATTCGAAGCAGTTTGAATGTTTTGATTAAAACAGACTAAGTAATTCATCAATATTACTTGATGAACAACGATACAGGCAAAAATAACGAGTTTTTTGCATTTGGCAAAACACATAATTTAGATTCTAGAAGACACTTTTAAAGTAAAGTATTCTTAATACTTGAGAAGAACTCGAATATCTAAAGCTTTAGGTAATAAAACAAATAATAAAAAATACTGTGGATAATTTATCTAAAAAGTTCCAGTATACGTTGTCTGTTGTTATTTTGCCACTTCTAACCCGGCTGCAAAAACTCCAAGCCATTTCATACAAAAACGAGATTTAAATCAAAGTAATTGCACTATCGCCTCACAAACTTGGGTCAATTTTCAGATATTTTGCTTTCGTAGTGGTCGATCTTATTTTATTTAAACCATTGTCTAAGATAAACTGCAATCGTGACCATACCAGGGTTTCTGTATTTCTTCTCCGTCTAGTTCTTCCTTGCGAGTCCTGATAAAAAAAATATGTCGGTGACAAGGCATCCACGAATTTGAATTTTCTTAAAGTGTATATAAAGTGAAAGTTTCATACACTTGAACAAATATTCAGACTAATAAAATAGAGACTTTGTCGTGGTGACAAATCTAAAAATACTTCTAAGTGGTATTTGCTATCTTTAGAACTATTTTCAAATATTCAGACGTTTACAAGGATTTTGATATATTTATGACCAATACAAGTTGAGTGAAAAGTGACAAAGTTAAACACCCAAAGTCGTCCTCGCCTGCAACCTTTTGGCCGCTCATCTGACGTCATACAGAATGCGGAAGTCGCCAAGCTAATAGTAACAGCTATTTCAATGGTGAGAATGTGTACTTCTTATGATGAAAATTTAGCTAACATAGCAGCCAAAAAGTTCGCCAAAAAATGTCAAAAATCGTCAATTTGACAGCTATAAACTCGCTCAGAAAAGACTACATTTGATTCCCTTTGCAAAAAACGGGTTTGACAGCAAGTACTTTTTACAAAGCCAATAAAAAAAGGGAGCAAAAATTTCACTAAGATAGCACTTTAATTGGTTATAAGTTGAATATAATTAGAATTAAATATGATTAGAGACATATATTTAACATAGAATCAAACTATGTGCTTATATTTAACATATTAGATGTTTGCATCACTCGTTTTGTTGGTAGAAATCCCATATAGTGAAAAGAATTTATGTTGATTTCATGTTCTGTTGAGCATTGGCACTTTGATATAATGTTAGACGTTTTAATTCTAATAAGTTCTTGTTATTTATCGACACAAAGAACGGCAAACTTAAAAATCTGTAACCAGAAAATGTGCAACTCGCAAAAAAATAATTAAGCTAAATACATGTTTGTAGATGTAGATCGTCCAGGTTAGTATAGTCCTGAAAAGGAGTGTTTTTGTTGATGTTGACTGACGTTTCGACGACCTTAGCCGTAGTCATCTTCAGAGTCAAGATGAGCTGAGGATAATTTGACTCTGAAGATGACTACCGCTAAGGTTGTTGAAACGTCAGTCAACAACAAAAAAAATAGTCCTTCTCAGGACTATACTAACATAAACCATGTACATCTACAAACAAGTAACAATATTCCGCGGTTCAAACCATTTACTTTAAGTTAAATACATCGCGCAGTCTCAAACAATTAGTTTATTCCTGTTTATCCTTACCGCAGTTAAGGACAGGTTAGCAGGATTCAAGGCTCTTCCACTGCATACTGCGTTGTTGGCATCACCTCTTCCCTGAAACGACATACGTAACTTAATGTTCATTAAACAGTTGGTAAAGATGTAAATAAGATTGTTTACAGAAACGTCTTAAACCTAATGCTTCATATCAAAAATTGTATGTGTAGTTTACATCAAACAAAACATAACATTTATGAGATAGAAACAACAATTTCAACATAGCCTTGTAAACATTTCCACCATAGCCTAGCAAACCTTTCCACAGTGCTTTCCAAAAACTAAACAAAATTAAACTGTGAACTCTCCCATCCCAATAATCCACTTCGATAAATTCACAGAAAAACATCGCCGATGTAAAACATAGGTCAAAATAAAAATCATTAAACTGCCAGAACTGACCTTAATACTGACAGGATACAGAAGATAATTGAATTCCTTGTCTTTTTCGGTTAGAGGGACGCTTATATGAAGTTTCACATCTTCTAAATCACTTTGACCTTCATTTGCAACCTAAATGAAGTATAAACGTCGTGTAAGTAAACCTATAATGAGATCCAATGGATTCAAAACAAAAAATCAACTCAAATGTTGACGGGCATTTATGTTAGGTAATATAAAGCATGCATATAGAGGTACGTCAGATGTCTGATTTAAGTCATACAAGCATCAACAAAAAGTCATAGAAATCAAATATATTGAGACAAGAAATATAGAAATATACGCAATGGCACCAACTAGCGAAGATAATTTCCTTTTTCATAGTTAGGAGGGAACCTCCAAAATGACTATATAACTAATTATTTCTTCGCTATACGAGATTATAGTTTTGAAAAGAATATTGGTGGAAGGGAAATTCATCTTCTCCTTACCTCGACAGTAATGGTTATTGGTGGTCCAATAGAAGTAATGTTCACAGAGTTATAGTCGTTGTCTATTATATTTAAATCAGGACCTTTTTCTGGATAGTTTAGTGACTTAGGAAAAGTTGTGCTAAAAACACAAAGTTCATCATTTGGTAATATTGATAACAGTGGCGGATCTAGGGTACGTCAAAATAAATTACTGTAGCACATTTTAGCATGTATTAACATTTCTAAGTACTTCAAAAAAAAAGGCGAATCCATTGGTAAAATTACATTCTTTGGAAATTCAAAATCAATAGCGTTTTTCTGAAAGTACTTTGACTTTAAAATTGAACAGCTATAATTTATTTTGACGAACGCTGGATCCGCTACTGATTGATAATACATTTGACCAAAGTCACTGCGCAACGCTGGATCCGCTACTGATCGATAATATACTTGACGAAAGTCACTGCGCAAGGCTGGATCCGCTACTCATCGATAATACATTTGACCAAAGTCACTACGCAACGCTGGATCCGCTACTCATTGATAATACATTTGACCAAAGTCACTGCGCAAGGCTGGATCCGCTACTCATTGATAATATATTTGACCAAAGTCACTGCGCAACGCTGGATCCGCTACTCATTGATAATATATTTGACCAAAGTCACTGCGCAACGCTGGATCCGCTACTCATTGATAAAATATTTGACCAAAGTCACTGCGCAACGCTGGATCCGCTACTCATTGATAATATATTTGACCAAAGTCACTGCGCAACACTGGATCCGCTACTCATTGATAATATATTTGACCAAAGTCACTGCGCAACGCTGGATCCGCTACTGATTGATGATACATTTGACCAAAGTCACTGCGCAACGCTGGATCCGCTACTCATTGATAATATATTTGACCAAAGTCACTGCGCAACGCTGGATCCGCTACTCATTGATGATACATTTGACCAAAGTCACTGCGCAACACTGGATCCGCTACTCATTGATAATATATTTGACCAAAGTCACTG